GTTTGTCTGTTTCAGATTTTTATTTCAAGTAAGTAATTTAATTTTTCTCGTGTCTAATTAGATATGTATGTTTCAGATTTTTATTTCAAGTAAGTAATTTAATTATTCATATGTGTCTAATTGTATTTGTATGTTTCAGATTTTTATTTTAAGTAAGTAATTCAATTTTTCCTATGTGTCTAATGTTATTTGCCTGTTTCAGATTTTTATTTCATGTAAGTAATTTAATTTTATCTATTTGTCTGTTTCAGATTTTTATTTCAAGTAAGTAATTCAATGATTTATGTTTGCCTAATTATATTTGTCTGTTTCAGGTTTTTATATTAAGTAAGTAATTTTGAATGTTTCATGTTTGTCTTAAATATTTTTGTATGTTCCAGGTTTTGATTTTATGTAAGTAATTTTTAATAATTCATATTTGTCTTAACTATTTTTGTATGTTTCAGGTTTTAATTTTATGTAAGTAATTCTTAATAATTGATATTTGTCTTAACCATTTTTGTATGTTTCAGGTTTTAATTTTATGTAAGTAATTTTTAATAATTCATATTTGTCTTAATTGCTTTTCTCTGTTTCAGATTTTTATTTTAAGTAAGTAAGTGAATTATTCATATATGTCTTAATCAAAAAATTGTTATGTTTCAGCTTTTAATTTTAATTTTAAGTAAGTGAATTATTCACGTGTCTCAATTATATTTGTATGTTTCAGGTTTTTATTTTAATAATTTGTTTGTCTTAATTTTATTCAGATGTCTCAGGTTTTTATTTTAATAATTCATGTTTGTCTTAATTTCATTTAGATTTTTCAGGTTTTTATTTTAATAATTTATGTTTGTCTTAATTTTATTCAGATGTTTTAGGTTCTTATTTTAATAATTCATTTTTGTCTTAATTTCATTTATATGTTTTAGATTTTTATTGTAATAATTCTTTTTTGTCTTAATTTCATTTATATGTTTCAGGTTTTTATTTTAATAATTCATTTTTGTCTTAATTTCATTTAGATTTTTCAGGTTTTTATTTTAATAATTCATTTTTGTCTTAATTTCATTTAGATGTTTTAGATTTTTATTTCAATAATTCATTTTTGTCTTAATTTCATTTAGATGTTTTATGTTTTTATTTTAATAATTCATTTTTGTTTTAATTTCATTTAGATGTTTCAGGTTTTTATTTTAATAATTCATTTTTGTCTTAATTTCATTTAGATGTTTCAGGTTTTTATTTTAATAATTCATACTTGTCTTAATTTCATTCAGATGTTTCAGGTTCTTATTTTAATTAGGTAATGAAATGTTTCATATGTGTCTTAATTACATTTTTATGTTACAGGTTAAAATTGTAAGTAATTGTATATGTCCCAAGTATATTGTATTATATTTATGTATTTTTATCGAGTCGACTCGAGTTTTATTTCACTTTTTTTCCGAAAATGCTAGCATGAATTTTGCATGTTAGCATGAATTGTGCATGCCTAAACATTATAACGTTTCTAATCTTGCATGTACTTCTCTATTTCTTTTTTTTTATTCTCAGCTCCAATTATTGTATAGATAATGAATAGATCATCATTGAAGACTTCCTTCGAGGGACTTCACCAATTCATTTTAAGTAATTTTAAGTTAATTTTAAGTTGCGTCTATTGTAATACATTATAGTGTGAATGAGTGCATGTGTGAAATGCGTATACGCGAAGATTGAAGACGTCGATCATCGAGGGATCATCGAGGAATCTTCAAGAGATGCGTGCGTTAGTTTTAAGTTAAATTTATGCGTATGTTAGTTTTAAGTAAAGTGTGCTCGTGGGCGGGCGGGTGGGTCCCTGTAAGTGCCTCTTATTCTAACTTGCACTCGTCTTCTCAATTCTCAAACTTTGCACGCGTTAGCTTGTAGTATACCCAGTTATTTTTTGTCAATCGTTCCGAACCCAAGAGGATCATTGGGGGTTCATAGCGCTGTGAACACGCGGC